GGTTGAAGCTATAGCTACAGTTGGAGGGAAAGAGACAACGTTGTCATGGTTAAAAAGAGAAAGCGCTGATCGTGACGTCACCAACAACAGGCAGCCAAAAATAACGGATCTAGATCCCCGATCGATCGCTTATGTCACCGAATCATCAACTTCTTTCAATGTCATATTGAATTCGCGTCCGAGTCACCATTCCAACCTTCTCCCCTCCCATCTCCTTCCCACCGCCGACATCCCCAATGGACAGCACACGATGACCGCGATCCCCGCCGACTCCTCATCGTCCTCGTCTGTGCTACCACACTTCGAAAACACCGATGAAGAGCTCGCGTACCTTCGTGTTGAGCTGCTTCTGCTGAAGAAACAGGTGAAAGACGTGGAACGCGTCTACGTGGCTGTCGCCAGGGGGGATTGCACACAAAATATTGAGCAGGGGGGTGGTGTGGTCAACGGGATGGTAGACAATCTGAAGTTGTTTGTGAGGGATGTGAAGAAGCTGGGTCAGGAAGTCAGGACGGAGGGGTATGTGTTCTATCTCTCGCTTCTATTCTTTGTATTATGATCTATCATATGATTAGAACGCTAGGTGGACCAGCGCAGGCCTACAATGCCGAAGGAGAATGGCGCGAAATCACAGACGTCATTCATAAATTCGCGTCGATCATACTTCGTTCGTGCGTCCCCCATAACCTATCTAGATATCTCACCCACTCATCAACTCCGTACTCTAGATCCGTGAGATTTCCAAAGTCACAAGGGGCGTCGCACTTGGGGATCTCAGTAAGCGGGTCGGGGTCGATGTGCAAGGGGAGGCTCTGGACTTGAACAATACGGTTAATGGGATGGCTATAAGATAGGTGAGGCTTATACTTTATTTTCGTTGATTTTGTGTTGTCAATTCGACACTCCGACGGGGAGTCGGTGTTACTTGCGTCCACACTTGGCGCTCTACCGTACTTTCGGCGTTTATTTTACGAACTACTCGTTCTCGTTCTCGTTCTCGTCAAGTCGAGCTTCATCCCGATTCCAATTTTATTTCCCTCCCATATCTCACTCCATTTCCCAGCTGCAGCTCCCACACAACATATTAATTCCCCTCTCCCACAGGCTCGAAATGATGGTGGCCGAAGTGTCCAGAGTCACTCGCGAAGTTGGGACGTATGGCAAGCTTGGGGGACAGGCGAACGTGTCGGATGTGGATGGGGACTGGTTAGCGCTCGTTATGAATGTGTGTGGAGTGTGGGCTGAGTCCGAGGGTATGCATGGTACTTTCAGGAACTCACCTATGCCGTCTTCCGCCGTCCTTGCATTTTCCTTCCGGGACTAATGGGGACTCGAATATAGGCTGTACACCAACACAATGGCTGGGAACTTGACTACCCAGCTTAGGGGCTTCGCACAGCTCACTGCTTCCGTTATGGACGGCGACTTCACCATGTTCATCAGTGTCGAAGCTAGCTTAGAGTTGGTCTTCTGATTGCGCGACTCGGTCGAGAAGAACGTCAACGCGCTTGAGGCCGCCGAGCTTTCCAACAAGAGTAAGAGCGAGTTCCTCACGAATCTGTCTCACGAGAGTCGGTAAGTCTTTTCTGGAAATCGTACGAACTCGAACATACGCTGACGGGATAAAAGGACTCCCTTGAATTCTATCATTGGCATGACGCAGCTCACTCTCGACAGTGACCTCAACCAGTCGCAAAGGGAGTCTTCTTTCGATCCGGAAACATGCTCGTTCCCTCCTCCGTATCATCGACACCATCCCCGACTTTTCCAAGGGTATGTTGTCAGCCTTATTTCTTCCTCGCTGTCATTAACTCCGTTGTATAGTTGAAGCACTCGGGTGAGCAAGGGCGTAGAAGAAAAGGCTGATTCGGAGGTCGTGCAGGAGCTCTGAAGGAACTTAATACCTGCTCCCTGACTGAAGTGTAGGGATAAGGTGATAGTGGGGGAGAGTAAGGAAACATATTGGGATATAAGTCGAGAGCTGACACGTCGAGCATGGAGGGGATAGCAGTATGCCTCAAAATTTAAGTGGTGATTTTTAATCTGATCTTACATAGCCAGATGAACTGAACGTTCTTATCGATGATCATCCGGTCTGTTCGTCGTCAATGTCGTTGTTGCATCTACCTTATAATCGGCTAAGCTCGATTAAGGTACAGGGCTTCGAAGCGGACAAAAGCAAATGACTAGAGAGGACACGATCATTACTTATCCGCGGTTTCGTCCTATGAAACAGCCAAAAAAAAACACAACAATTGATTTTCCTTCCATAACCTGTGCAACCCTCGCATGTATAGGAAATTCTATCGAGACGTACAAAACTATTTCGTTGATACGACCATTAGTATGCTTGCAGCCTCCTACTCGCGAGGCAATTTGTATAAGACGGCGTACGGATCCCAGCTTGGGTCCTGATGTCTCTCATACTCCAGAATATTCGACACCTTTTCGGCCGCCTCCTCTCCATAGGTGGCAGCTATGAACGCGAATATTGCATCCAATCCTGCGCTCACTCCCGACGAGGTCCAGACATTCCCATCTACAACCCATCGTGCATGCGCGACCCACTTCACCTCCTTCCTCTGCGCCGTTTCCGGCCACCACTGCAGCTTGCTCGTCGTAGCCCTCCTTCCGTCCAGAATACCCGCACGGGCTGGGATGCCGGCGCCGTTGCACACCGTGATGAGGTACTTGAGGGATGGATAGACTTTCGCGACGAAGTCAATGGCGCTTTGGATGCCTGGCTGCATTGCACCGATGCCGCCGGGGACGAGGAGAACATCCAGAACTGGGGGAGACGCGAAGGTATGCGTGGGGACGATCGACTGGCCAAAGTCTGAGCCGACCGAGCGCTGGTTCGGGACCTTCGTGGTCACTGGCTCAAGAGTTTCGGCGATTATCGAGAGGTTCAATGGGAACATAAGCGATAGCGTGTTGAGTGCATCAATTGGCCCGAATGCATCGAGAGCTTGGAATCCGGGGAAGACGACGAGGCCAAAGCTGACGGGTACTGGACCCTTGGGCCATCCCTCTATATTATATGAAGAATTGTGAGTGTCGCACTATGGACAATCAGGAAAATGGGAAATGTACGTTCAGAAATCTTATTTCGCTCGAGGGCGAGCTTGACTTGATCCACAGCTTGCGACATGATTTAGATGTTGGTATTCCAAGACCTCTGCTTCTTGGATCTTATATCTTAATTTCCCCTTGTTCTCTATGGGGTATGGGCACGTAATTCCAGTGTTCACGGTGCAATGATCAGTAAGTCGCGCCGGTCTCGGGCGTAGTTATTCTCCCATGTGATGATCTGGCTTTCTCTGGGAATTGGACCTAGAGAGCAACAAATCGCCGTCTTTCAGTTTCAGGTTTCTGGAACGCAGCCATATGGATGTTTTGCTGCAAATTGGCCGAGCCCGATGCACCCGGCATCCTTGTCCCTCAAAGGAAGATGCCTGACTAATTTTATGGCGCCGAGTAAAGCATGATACAAAGGGTTGGCGGTCGATTTGCTGCGAGTCTTCTACCAACGAAAATCGGCATGCCTGCAATCTCATAAAATCCCCGAAGCGAGCCTGCCTGGATGCGACGCCAACGGAGAGGTCACCACGCGGCCGCGGAAGTGGAGGAGTGTAGAGTGGGTCATACACGAATCTGTATATCGTAATTCAGCCAAAATGGTGGTCCAATGGTATCATGGCCCGCACATCGAACCCCTTTACCAGCCGCTTCTTGGGGTCTCTCCTCTGTTCCCTTACTGAGCTATCCAATACTCGACCTTATTTCGGGATACCGCGGTTCCACTACATCCCAACTCAATGGCCTCCAAGCCTCGCATTGTAAATTGGTTACTTGGATTAGCGAAAGTATTTTCTGTATCATTGTACGACAGCAGCTTGGTAGTAACTGCCAAAGTCATGATTGTACCTATGAGAACACAGAAATGGGCCGCAAAATGCCTCATGGTGGCACGCCCCACTACACAGAATAGCGCAGAATGGGGGCTTTGACCAGCTGCGCCTCGTTGGGTGTTGATAAGAATGGTCGAAGCCATACGCATCCATGGTGGACAGAGACAGAGCCCAATTTTTACTTACGCCCTCCTCTTCTATCCTCCATATTTCCTGGCTTCTTTCCTATCTTCCCATCCTCTCCCACCATTCGTCATACTGAGCACCTGACGAACCTCCTCCCAAAACAGGCAGCATAAACTCGATGGTGGACCAATTGTCCGCGATCGTGTCTGAGGTGACGCGCGTCACGGTTGAGGTTGGCACGGAGGGGATGCTCGGGAGCAAGGTGCGTGTTGAGGGTGTTGAGGGTGTCTGGGCGGAATTGTTGGGGGGCGTTTATATGCGTTGGTCCTTCCCTCCCATTTTCCCCTCTGGCCCCTTCACCCCACTGGACAATGGCCTCAAACTTGACTAACACAGTACGTGCCGTTGCGGAAGTGGCGAATGGCGCCATTCTGTATAGTGAAGCCTGGTACCTTGGGGTATTTTGCGGCCCATTTCTGTGTTCGTACATAGGTACAACCATGACTTTCGCAGTTGCTACCAAGCTACTGTCGTACAATGATACACCAAGTACTTTCGCTAATCCAAGTTTTAAGGTTACAATGTGAGGCCTGGAGGCCTTTGGGTTGGGGTGTAGTGACCGCGGTATCCGGAAATAGAGCTGAGTATTGGATAGCTCAGTAAGGGAGCAGAGGAGAGATCCCAAGGAGCGGTTGGTAGAGGGGTTCGATTTGTGGGCTTCTGACTGTCGAATCTGGCAGTGGCAGTGGGATCGTGAGTAGCAATACCCCATATGCGAGCTAGTTATAACTCGTCACGGGGGACCATATGTCGTCAAATAGAAATGTATATGTACATGTGCAACTTTACATGTATGACTACGAGCGTTGGTTGAGGACGGGATTGAGTCATATCAAGTCCTCTATTCGGAGTGATGTGGTGTGCTAACGCAATGGAGTAAAATCAATTTCACATTGTCAGTGATGCATTAAGAGGGAATCGAACCCCCGGCGGGTCGAGTGACGATTTCACTACAGGTTATTCAATGGCAACGACCCAGGTTACCACTACCCCATTAATGCTCTGCAAGCATAGGTGGAGTAAAAAAAAATATTAATGGAGCCAGGTCGAAATCGCGAGTTAACCGCGAGCAGACATCTTGCACATCCTTCATCCGAATAGAGGGACGAAGAGAGGAGTGGGCATGCATATCCAGCGAAAACAATGCCATTCATTGTAGAGAGAGAGATCTGCGCGTTCCCACCTCGATGAACAAGACTTAAATGGGCGTGCGAGAGAGTGAATAGAAGAACCAGCACGGTATGGTGCAGAGACATGGATTATATCTCCAGGATCAGCATTGTTACAGGCAATGCACGACTACTATAGTTGAATGAAAGGGGGGAACATGTCCATCGCATGGGATCTAAACCTGTCTTGTTGGTTGGCTTAGACAGATGACGTCATGATAAATACTTTCTCTTCCCGACCATATGCTTGACATAGTCCGTCTCTGCTTCCCGCGTAGCTCCTGGTATCGACAACGCTCGTTATAGCGCCTCTCATCTCATGCATACTGTCTGTTCGCGTACCGCAAGTGTAATGGGCTACAATTGCCCTATGCGCTGTCATTCGCCATCACCTCATCAGTACCTCCCAACTTGAAATAACCTCCACGGGCCACGACACTGTTTGACCACAATTTTAGCTGGGTTACGATATACATATTCGTGTATGATCGATCCACTCTATGCTCCTTCACTTCCGCCGCCGCATCGTGATCTCTCCATTGGCGTCGCATCTAGGCAGGTTCGTTTCGGGGACTTATGAGATTGCAGGCATAGTTCTCTGTCTACATGAGCTTCAACACATTTAACATGTTTGGACTTCTTGCAGTCGAGCTACGGGAGTCATAAGGCTTAAATGGTGGCGTACTTGATGGCTACTCTCGCGGATTCTATCGCTGACTTTAAATGTTCAACGAGATGTGTAACTTCTCTGTTATCCAATCAAGTTCCAGCTCCAGGTAAAAACGCTCAACTTTCTTGGGATCCCAAGCGCGGCTGAGCCTTTCTTTTGAATTACTATGTATTTATGCTCGGAGTGTCTCGTATGGGAACACGTCAGCGGGTTTTCGTTGGTAGAAGACTCGCAACAGCCCCAGAGGCAAATCGACCGCCAACCCTTTGCATCATGCTTTACTCGGCGCCATAAAATTAGTCAGGTACCTTCCTTCGAGCAACAAGGGTGCCGGGTGCATCGGGCTTGACCAATTTGCAACAAAACATTTGCATGGTTTCTTCCAGAGAATCTGAAAACTGGAGCTGACGCTCATCGGGATTAGCTGGTCTCCAGACGGTGCTTTGTTCTTTTCTAGGTCCAATGTCCGGGGAAACCAGATCATCACATTGAAAATCATTGGACGAACGTCTTGGGAGAATAACAATACCCGAGGCCGGCGCTAGCCTTACATCATGCACAGTCATTGCGCAGCGAATGCTGGAATTACATGCCTATACCCCGTAAAGAACAAGGGAGAATTTAAGGTATAAGACCCAAGGAGCAGAGGTCTTAGAATACCAAGGTCTAAATCATGTCGCAAGCTGTGGATCAGGTCAAGCTCGCCCTCGAGAGAAACAAGATTTCCGAACGTACGTTCAAACTCCCATGTTCCGGACCTTCCTCGCATGGCGCGACACTCAAAATTCTTTATATAATATAGAGGGATGGCCCAAGGGTCCAGTACCCGTCAACTTTGGCCTCGTTGTCTTCCCCGGATTCCAAGCTCTCGATGCATTCGGGCCACTGGATGCGCTTAACACGTTATCGCTTATGTTCCCATTGAACCTCTCGATAATCGCCGAAACTCTTGAGCCAGTGACCACGAAGGTCCCGAACCAGCGCTCGGTCGGCTCAGACTTTGGCCAGTCGATCGTCCCCACGCACACCTTTGCGTCTCCCCCGCCCCTCGATGTTCTCCTCATCCCCGGCGGCATCGGTGCAATGCAGCCAAGCATCCAAAAGGCCATTGACTTCGTCGCGAAAGTCTATCCTTCTCTCAAGTACCTCATTACGGTGTGCAACGGTGCTGGCGTTGCAGCCCGCGCGGGGGTTCTAGACGGAAAAAGGGCTACGACGAACAAGATGCAGTGGTGGCCGGAAACGGCGCAGAGGAAGGAGGTGAAGTGGGTCGCGCATGCACGATGGGTTGTAGATGGGAATGTCTGGACCTCGTCGGGAGTGAGCGCAGGATTGGATGCAATATTCGCGTTCATAGCTGCCACCTACGGAGCGGAGGCGGCCGAAAAGGTGTCGAATATTCTGGAGTATGAGAGACATCAGGATCCAAGCTGGGATCCGTATGCAGAGTTATACGAATTGCCCCGCGAGTAGGGGGCTGCAAACATACTAAAGGTCATATCAACGAAATAGTTTTGTACGTCACGATAGAATTTCCTGTACATACGAGGGTTGCACGGGTTGTCGAAGGAAAATCAGTTGTTGCGTTGTTTTGGCTGTTTCATAGGACGACGAATTGCCCCACGAGTAGGAGGCTGCAAGTGTACTAAAGGTCATATCAACGAAATAGTTTTGTCGCGGACTCAGCCCACTCTCCAAGTTCTCCCTCACAGCTATCACAGACCGTGCACCATGCCATTCACGGTCTGCTTCATCTCCAATACGTCGCCCCGCGCACTGGACTCGATCTTCTTTCCAGGTTTCCATTTGTAACCGCCTTCGCTACCTTTGCGACGGACTGTGCTTCGTCGTGAGGGTGTTGGCCATGGTGTTCATGTTGTCCTGAAGAGTCTGCATAAAATGACAAATCGATGAATCAGCGCAAGGTAGACATCACTAGCACGAAAAATGCACCTTCCAGGTGCCCTGCGCATACTCCACTCTCGACTGCGCGTCCAGCCTCCCCTCAATTCCAACCTCTTCACTCAAATGAGTGATAGAGTTCACGATGCCGGAGATCATGTCCACCATCGAGTCCACTGTTCCTAAGGGGAGGAGTGGGCAACGTGTTAGCTAGTTACGCATTGAGGCATAAACTGGAAGAACAAAAACGCACCTTTAGGCGTATTCATCTCCCTGTCGAAACTGGCCCGTATCTTCTGCGTGAAGTCCTCGCGTGAAAGGGCCGTGGAGGTGGCGCAGCGTAGTTCAAAGGTAGATGAGATGAATTGATGAGGTGAGAGATGGTTGAAGCTGTAGCTACAGTTGGAGGGAAAGGGGAAGACGAATCTGTTGAAGACATTGTCATGGTTGCAAAGAGGAGTCAATGGACGATTGGTCCAACTCGATCCCATCAGGCTTCCCATATTCTCGCCTTCCCGACAGCTCCTGCCATCCCCAAGCATCCCTGTCAAGTCCAACTTTTACTTGGCTACCACAGATCATTATATTATAGTTGCTATGTAGTAAACCCAATAATTACGCATTTATTTCTTTCCCGGCGAGCAATATCTCTTTTGGTCGCCTCCGGCCGTAAGAAGGTTTCGAACTGATGTGCTCCTGAATTTCAGAACTTCTTTCTTGCGGCACAGTCTCTCTGGGATTCGTACTGTCGCTGTCCACCCGAAGCTCTACACGTAAATATGTCTAATCTATCTAATTCTGGTTTTCTGTATCGACGACCTGGACATACAAAGGCTCTGAGATTTCTGTGAGGAGGGTTTGAGGCTCATTTCCCCTTAACATTGCGCCCCATGTCTATCTTTAATCCCCCCACGGTCCCTAAGCACCACGGCACTTTATTCCATATTCTCGCCAACTTCCAGGCCGAGAGCGAGGACCTCATCATCTGCAGCACAAGCGCAAGACGAGTCGTCGAGGTGTCATGGTATGTTTGATCTTTTGTTTTATACTCCTCCTTAACTTATGCCGCTTGCAGGCCCATCAGCAGGAACAGGGCTCGTATTTTCCCAGGAGGCATACGGGAATTTCTTCGTAGCCGTGGCTTGCACTGGCCCTGTTTTTGTGTCTTCCTCGCCGACGACAACAAGTCCGTTTTGTGCAGAATCATTGAGGTTGCAGAGGGACAATTCGAGGCTTGCTGCAGCGAATCTATCTCTGGCATCAACTGCGGGTTCTTCAGTAAGCCACCTATTACCTTCTGACTGTTTCCCTTCGCCGACTTATTACATTGGCAGTCAACCTCAACCTCAAATATGAGAGTGCTACACGCGTGTCGGACTATGACGGACTCCCTACGCTCGGTAGGTCTACACCAAGTCATTCTTCCTTGAATTTTAAATGACCATGTTCCTACTTAGCCAGCATGAAGGCGCCCTGCAAGGAGACCCTGCTTGCAACATTCTTCTTGCCTGGCCTTAAAGACGATACATTTGGAGGGCACTTTGAGGGGTACTTTGGAGAACACTGTACCTGGTTTCCGGGCGTGGAACAGCTTAGCAGCCTCCCTCAAGTCAAGCGCAAGGCTAGCGGTCGTACGTTTTATTTCCTACTGCTTGACCTATTATATTCTCAATTCTATCATACCCCTTTAGTTTTAGACATGAACCGGGAAGAGTTCTTCCGTGCGCCCGCCCCACCGATCCCTCAAGCGCCCGTCCCTCATCGTCCTCAGGCTAGGTCATATCCATACAATCCTTTGGCCGGCAGGACTTATCTCTGGTCCCCTTCTCCTCCTCCTTCCACCAATATGTCGACAAAATCCACCTCCGCATTGGGTCTCCCCACTGGCGCCAGCTTCCGTCGCCCTGCCTTTCCATCCTCCACCTCCTCTACACCTCGCTCACATCCATCGGCATTCGGCTCCATGGCAGGCATCCGTCGTTTCTCTGACCCCAATTGGGGCCGCACCTCCGCATCCGCATCTGCCTCCGGTGCTGGCTCCTCGTCTGGTTCCTGTTCCTTGAATGTGTCAGCGTTCAAGCCCACTACCAAGGAGAGGGAGCTCTTAGGGCGATTGGAGAAGGGTGAAGGGCTTGTTCCCTATGAGCGCGATCAGGTGCTAGCAAGATGTGTGGATTGCGGAGAGACATTCTTGAAAAGTGCATACGACAATCATAAGCAAGCCCAGTGTAAAATAATTGTCCTTAGTGATTGATATGTA